GGCCGACTGGGCTGCTGTATAAAATTGCAAGGAAGTGCAATATTTTCTTCAGGTTTTAAATGCATCTATCTCTTGCCCCAGTTCTGTAATGTAAGATGGTATTAAAAATTGCACTTTCTTTTTTTTCAGTCCTTTGACAGAAGTTTGGTGCTAAAGAGCACTTGGGGCTGATCCTAAATATCCTTTTCCACCTCAAGCTTGTTTTAAATCTCTGAAAGACCACGAATGCATGTTCTTCCATCACAAACCTGACCTGTAAGACCGAGTCATGTAAAGTAGTTGGAAGGAGGAAGATTCACTCCTCTTTTTATCAATAGTTTTTCAGGGACTTAAACATGATCCCATTCCATCCTGTTCAAGTGCCAGCGTCTGCTTATGTCCCCAATAGGTGGAAACTAATCCAGCCCTCTAGCAACGGCCTATGTTTTGTTACCCGAGGAGGGGATCCAAGGGCCTTTCTGCATGCAGAGGTGCACCTGTTCCTAACCACCACCTATGCCAAGGACACATCTGTGAAATAAAACCAGAATAATTTATTAAGAACCATCAGAAAACCCTCTGAACAGGGATCCTGGTGTTCTCCTATTTAAAAAAAAAAAAAAAATCCACAACTTTTGGTTTAAAAAAAGTAATGCAAAATCCATATCTTTCCATGATTAAATGAAAGGCCACTAATATATGGGTGTGTGTAGATGAGACCGGGGCCCTAAATTGAAGCAGAGGGTTTTTAAAAACACATCTTCATTTGGGGCCGATTTAAACCCGCGTGTCATGCACACACCTGACTTGCCTGCCTTTCTGCGGGGAGGGGAGGGCGAGCTTCCAGCAGGCGGAGTGGTCCCTGGGTTATGGGGGGAGCTGGTGCTTCCCTCCGTGGAAGTGGTGGGGCACCCCCCAAGCGGCACCCACCTGCAGGCACATGGCTCAGGCAGTCCCAGGGGCCACTGCAGCTGTGAAGGGAAGCGTCAGGCCCCTGCGCAGCTCAGGCAGGGAGCCAAGCTCTGGGGGGCAGGGCTGGGAGAGGAGCAGGGTTAGGCTCACCACTTTTCCTGGGTGGAGCCTACCTTCCCAGGCTGCTGCCAGGCTGCCTGCACGGGCTTCCTGCAGAGCCCCTGAGCAGCACGGAGCCCGGTGCTTTGCTCCGCTGCTGTAGGGGCATCAAACTAAAACTCTCTTCAGAGGAGTTTTAGTTTGCTGTGCCCCAAGTTATTTAAGACTCATTACACCACCAAATTCCAGCCGCTGTGGGAAATTAATGTGTAATACTCCACCAAGCGTGTAAACACTGATGCCATTGAAGCAGTGCAAAAGCATTTAGCCCGCTTTAAAGTGTTGTGCACACATGCACCTCATTTTGTCTACATGCGGCCTATTAGTGGCGTTTTATTTAATCACGGAAAGATGTGGATTTTGCATTTCTTTATTTTAAAACCGAGAATTGGGTTTTTTGCTGGTGGTTTTTTGTTGTTTTTTTTTTTTTTGCTTTGGAGAAAACCAGGATCCCTGCTTATGATCTTGTCATAGTAACCAAGGCAGATGTGAACTTCCGAGACCAATGATATGTTTTCTGGCTCTCGCTCCTGTTTACATGATTCAGGAGTTGGCAACAGTTCCCCAGAAAATATACCAATAACTTGGAATAGAAATAGTCATTCAAGTGCGGTGCTGTTAGCCAGGCAGACAGGATTAAGTGTGCATAACAATAGGCTTGTGAGTAATTCTGACTTGGCTGCTTTTTTCCTCTTTTTAAAAGAAATTGTTGGCAGTTGTATGCCCTTTCAGGGGTAAGGAACAATGTTTCTGCAGCACAGACATGGGCTTTGCTAGTGAGTAAGAGTTGTGAGGGGTACCGGGTCTTTATTTGGTGGGCTCTAGCCACCGTCATACTGGCTTTGCTGGTGTGGCTATCCACGGTAGCTAGGCCAGTGTTCGTTTGGATCCGCCTGTGTGCTGTACCTTTATTTTAAAACAAAACTTGCCAGTTTCCAGTGTCTAGGGCTTTAAGAGAGGTCTCAGCATCATGCCTAGAATTAAAAACAAGAACTTGCATTGTGTATTTTTAAAGAAAAACAAAAATCAAGCTCCCGCATTTTAGTGTCCGCTTTGTCTTGTCTCCCTGTCCTCCTCCCCCCCCATGTAATATTCATTATCTGTTAATAAGTCTCATATACTGATAGGAGACTAGGGCCTTAGAGTATTGAGTATAGAGTTACCATTGTAACCATTGTGGCTTTCATTAGGGTTGTTTGGGATTCGTTAATCCATTTAAAGCATGTCTTCTATAAATATTTCCTTCTCTCGCTAGTTTAAATCCTGTTTGCTCAACACACCAGAACCAGGATGTCATTTGTATAAGAGATACAATTTCGGAAAGCTATGTATTTAGAAAATATTATTCGATCCAGCTCTCAGCAGCCAAGTCTGTAAACACAGGCCATCCAGGATGAAGAGGGGGATGGAGATCCTGATTTACTCTGCCCCACAGTATGCCTTGGGAGATTTGCTTAGTTTTGTTTGTTTGGGGCAGCTCAGATGAAATGAGAAATAAGGGCAGAAGCAGTGAATGCTCAACGTGAATTAACCCTACCGTTTTCAGCAGGCCTGCGGGTGGTGAATGAGACCTTACAGTGTGAAGTGATTTACTAATGAATATCATTTTCAGTTGGCTTTAATTAAAAATGACGTGAGGTCAGACCAGGGACCAGGCAATTGTAAAACATCAAACCTGTCGTGTAGTGAAATTAAGAAACTCAGTCTACTCCCTTGGCGACGGTATTAATCTCCCCTATTTATTTACCCAGATAAAGGTGGTAAACTGTACGTTACAGAACTCCTAAACTCCAGAGATTATCAGTGCCGTGTTATCTCCTCGCTGCTCCATTTTACCACCTTTGAGTTGTTCTAGCTGTTTGGCTTTCCTTGTAGTGTGAGTCCGTTCTTTGCAAACATGGCCTTTTATCAGTAAGTACTGATAATGGGAATGCAGCGTCTGAATTGCTTTGAAAAGTCTCTAACAAGGTGATTAAGGCTTTCAAGTAAAAGGCAAGTCTCTAAAGCTGGTTCATGGCAGATACTTGTTAAGAAAGGCACAAGTGTGTTCGTGCCTGGCTTTGAAAGCTTATGGAGGAATATTGATGAAAACTTAGTAATGCTGTCTGTTTGCAGGTTTTCAATTTTTTTTATTTTTAAAACCCCTTGGCAATAAAGAAGTGCCTTGAACTTCTCCAGTTTTTACACTTTTTTTTTTTCCGCTTTGTTTGAAAAGCAGAACCCTCCCGAAACAGAAAAAATAGGTTCTTGATTTATGCTAGCAGTCAAATAATAATCTTTGTACAGCCCTGCATGGACAGCTGGTTACCAGGGCTGTGCGAAACAGCACTGTTTCATTTAGACTTCCGGTTCACTGTTTCGAAGGGACAGTTTCGTTTTGCTGTTTCGAAGCACTGTTTCGTTTTGTTTTGTCAAAACTGTTTTGATGTGCTTTGCCCGTAGGCTATAATGGGGAATCAAGAAACTGCCTATAACTTGGTCGTTTATTTTCTGATTCAAATCAAAACAGCAGGGATGGTAGCCCCTGCTGACCCCACAACACCTGTCAAGTTTTAAGGAGATAGGTTCAGGGGTTTCTGGGAAACCACACCTCAAACTGCTGAAAAGCAAAACTCGTGACGTGTGTGTGTGTGTGTGTGTGTGTGTGTTAAGGTGCAGCGGGGTGAAAACTGCAGGTATGGTGGCCCCTGCTGAGGTCACGAAGCCTGCCAAGTTTCAAGGAGATAGGTGCAGGGGTTTCTGGGAAATGGCACCTCAAACTTCAGAGCAAAACTCATGTCGCTTTTAAGTGGGGAAGGCACAGAGAAAGCTCTGTTCAAACAATGCCTTTTATGCTGTTTTTCTATCCCTCCCCCAGAGCACTGGGACTGGAAGGGACCTCAGGGAAGGATCACGGCCATTGGCCAGCTACTTTTCAGTCCTGGGCTGGGCTGTGCTGTCTGCTTCAGAGAGCTGGCCCTGCCCCTCTGCTCCCTAGCTGGAGCAGTGAGGGCTGACTGACAAGGGGGTGGGGGGCAAGCCTGGCCGGGGATGCAGTCCAATCTATGGGGGGTGGAGGGGGCAGGAAGGGAAGACTGCCCCCCCCCCCCCCGGGGGCAAATCCTAGCTGGGGTGTGGGGCCAGGGAGGTGGGTTAAATACCCTTTCCCCTGCTCAAACATACTTGTTGCCACTGTGGACTACAAATCCCAGAGGCACTTGGAAGCAAGAAGAAGAAGTAATGAGCAACCCTGCAGAGTCCTGCTATTGTAATCCTGGACTGCAAATCCCAGAGACCTCGGGGGCAGTGCATAGCCAGAGAGCTGTACTCTAGTGGCTCAGGCCAGAAGCCAGGGGCCACTGCGGGCACGTGGCTGCCTTTCCTGAATCGAAGGTAAATTTCTGTTCGCTTCCGTTTCAGTTTAATCTGTGCAGTTTAGACTAACCTGCAAAGCCTGACTTGATTCAGCCTCAGGCTTTTTGACTGTCTGTACTTAGCCCTAAAGTTTCATTGCAATCCATGGGTCGGGTAACGAGAATAAAACTGCTAGTGTGCGGGTTTTAGAGCATTGGCGCCCCATCCTGCTAACTCCATGCTTTTATTTCATGAATTGTCATCACAGTACATGCATCTCCTCTGTTCTGGTCTGCCATGGTCAAACCCTTTTAGTATAGCCAATGAACAAGTTGAGGGAGGTAAGTCTGATGCCCCGAGCAGGACCCTGATTCCAAACGTCTTCACATCTCTTTCTGCTTGGAGGCCTCCCACGGAGCATGCTTTGCTGTGTCAAGCTGCACTCTTCTCCAGGTAGGCGCTGGATTGAACAGGTCTGCTAGTGCAGACAGACACCAGGGCTCTACTCAAGCGTGGAGCTGTGCTTGGATTGGAGTTGCCACGGTCTTATCTGGAGCCACCCCTAGAGACGCATCCCTTGCCAGGACTCGAGTTTGACTTTCACTCTTCTCCAAGGGCTTGCAGAGCACCTTAAAGTGGGGGAAAAAAAAGATGGAAGCTTTTAGAGTTCAGATGTTCATGCCCTGCTCCTTTGAAAGCTTGTATCTGTAAGTGCCACTTTATTTGAGAATCAGCACTCTGAACAAATGGTATGATTGGGCTTTTATTGTAATGATTTTATTCTGCGAGTTAAAAATACTGTGCTTGTTAACTTGTCATTATCTTAAAGCTACAACAGCTGTGTGTGACTGCCTACGATAAAGATAGAAACGTTCAGGAGGGGAAGCAGAAACACTCCTTTAAAAAAAAAAACTTGAAATTTTTAATGCTAAATGAATGGGGATAAAAATAAAAGTAGTGTTTCTGGTTTTGTTTATACACTGGTTAATGCCTCGACACACAAGCACATGTAGGAGAAATGTTCTTTGTGGAATCTCCTTGGCGTTGTATAGCTTACCTTGCTTTCCTTTCCTCTCCTCCCTCCAGATTAAAATGGGGCAAGAAAAATATTTCAGTGTATCATTTTCTACCGATTTATATTATTTTAACTAATGTATTCAAAAAGTCCTTTCCTCAGTATATTGAAGTGACAGTCCTCCTACTCTCTAGTGGATACTTTAAAAAAAAAAATCCTTTTATTACAGTGACCTTTGCAGCTTTTAGTTGTATCTTCCTTTTTTGCATTTACCTTGCAACTCAGTGAAATGGTGATCAAGCTTTTCCAAACAGTACCTAAAGCTGTGTCCCCAAGTGAATAAGCATTCAAGCAAATCAACTTACAGCATTTTATTAAGTCAAGACTCATGCAAAAACCACCTCCAGAGCTTAATAATTATTTACTGAATGTTCTTGGGTCATGAGAGAGGTTTTCATTAAGTTGGAAATGTATTATGCTCACTAGCTTGTGAAGGTGTGTTTAAAGACAGAGGGGAAAAACGGAAAAATACTAAATGGTGCACAACTGCTTGCAGAATTTTAATTAAAAAAATCCATGCTTAACAGACTCTTGAATTGGCGGGTTCTGTCTCTAATTAAACAATTATGATGCAACGAACTTCTTGTTGCAATCAAAATTATTATTTTTTTTTTTTATCAACACTTAATTCTTGTATTGCAAACTTTTTTTTTTTTTGTCTTTTCCTGGACACTTCTTGAAGGATGCTTTTTATATTCACTTTGCACCATCTGACAAAATGCACTTTCGGGTAGAATACAGTTGTTTGAGTGTATTGTTGCAAATATGCCTAGTGTTGGATTTCATCTTAAATGCTGATGCTGGAGGGAAAGGGTTCAGAGCAAGAGGGGTTTGTGAAAAGTAAAGAAAGGATTGAAGGAGAAAAATACGTTCAGGTCGGTGACGAAGCAAGTGCCACGCCAAGTGGCATTATCTCCAGGAACATAGGTCACTAGTAGATGTGGAAACCGTACTGCTGCTTTGAAGTAAAACATTCTGAAATGCAGTAGCAACAAAAAATAGTGTGTAGACTTTATCAGCCATTATAATAGAGTAGTTTTACCAGGTTTGCTGTTCTGTCCTTGGCAGGAAAGGACAGAGCTGCGTGCCAAGACCTTTTTTTCCCCACATTGATACTTTGAGCTCTGCCAGCCAATGGGAATGGTGAAAGGAAGTGTCACTTGGCACCCCCGATCATTTATTAAGGTTTGGAATGAAGTACAAAGTGCTGTGAGTGGAGCGCAGCGTAGAGATTTTAGTGTAGGTAACCACAACAGTGGTCTGCCGAACTAAAAACAGCAAGGAGGAGCCAATTTTTTTGTAATCTGGTTCTTTTTTTTCACTTTTTCTCATGGGGCAGCCTTGCTTAGTTAAGCAGCAGAGCCACTGGCCGCTCATATGCAGAGGTTTCATTATACCTTTGTGTGGATTAAGTAGTAAGAAGTTCCTGTGAAGCTTTCTTTTTTCCTCCATAGAAAGAAACTGTAAGATGGTCTGTGTGAACTTATTTGATGACCGACGTTTTATCTTGCCAATATGAAACTTTGCAGGTACATTAATTAAACTTTTTTTTTTTAAACATAGCACCTGTGGATGAAGGAAAGTACTGAGCTGAAAAGCTGCCAGTCTTGGATCTCTTTTTAAAGTTGTATTTCTTCTTAAATTAAGCAACAAGGGGTGCATGCACAATATACGTGGGTATCCCTCATGTACTTTATCCACGGCACAAAGAAGTGCGGTTATTACACGTAAGCCGACAAACACCGGTTTTCAGACCTTGCATTCTTTTGCACCTGGCTTTCCTAAGGGAACTTCAGCTCGGTTGGCATCTTCACAGTGCAAAATCCTAGACACTGCTGCTGCTTCTGGTAGCTTTTATTTGCCAGCCTTGGAGTCCCTGGCCAGATAATACCTCTAATTCCAAACCAATTCTTAGTTTTTGGAGAATGGCAGGTTACTTTGTGCTTGTGCTCCCCTTGCTAGCATGGCTTTTAGTGCTTTTAGTGTGGTTCTTGAGAGCCCCCTATCCTGCTCCTGAGCAGTAGGCAGGCTCTGCCCCTGCCTCCTGCCAAGCAAGCTGTTTTATAGCATCTTTATTACTCCACTCCCATCCCCTCCTCCCAGATTTTGAGCAAGGGCAGTTCAGACACCTGTCCTGTTTTCGAAGCCACTGCCTCCCCTTTCCCAGGTCTTGCAGGGGTGGGTTACGTTTCAACCTTTCCAATTTATGTTTGAACAAAATCCTATCGCTGCTTTTGCCTGGATTAATAGATCAGCATGAAAGTCTACCATGTTGCCGATGAAGTGGCCTCTTCAGTACTTGGATCTCTCAAGGTCATTTAATTTTTTTCCCCACCTTAAAGACTGATTCTGTTCATTGCCTGCTTTTTAAACTAAGCTGTTTGGCAGGTAAGGTGCCAGATCCCAGATTAACTCTTTGGTCTGGAGCTGTTGTAGAGCAGGGTGCAGTTTTATCTTCCAGCATTCAAACACATGCAGTGTTTTGACACTCCCAGTATAACAACAGTAACTTTTTTTTCCCTAGATCAGCTTCTTGTTCTGTTGATCAACTCTTTTTTTTATTTTATTTTAATAGGATGAGAGATTAAATTGCAGCCTTTTAGGGAATCCCTTTAACACTCATGCTCTCTTTTTTTTTTTTTCTTTTGTTCTAGAACCTTTTCATACTTGCTGGGCACATCTACACATTCATTAATGGGTTTTTGCTACTGTATATTAAATTTACTACCTCTAATGTGAGGTACTAAATAAATGTGCATTAGGCTGCCTTAATGTGCAGTAGCGAAAGTGCACACCTTTTTTTTTTTTTTTTTAGTGACGCTTAATGCACAGTAGCCTATTTTTACTGCACATTTGCTTATTAGCATGGTTTTTTGACGTGACACTTTAATACACAGTAAAATAGCCTCCTGCACATGTGTAATGTGCCTGCTCGGTAGCAAACCCAGTTAAAAACTGAAATCGCATGCACGTCTCCATGACTGTTCAATTTGAACCAGACTGGATTAGCACTGTATTTTGGGTAGGATCCACCCATAATCTAGAGTTTTTACCTGGTTTCAATTTGGGGAAATAAAACGCATCAAGTTTTTTTGGTTTAAGGTTTTGAATGAATTCACAGCTGAACATCAGAGTTAGCATGTGAAATGAAGGTGGGTGAGCGGGGAGCAGAAACTATGTTTGCTGTAACCGTTGTCTCCTAAACTTTGCTTCAGATCATGCTTTGGGCGAGGAAAAAGAAATGGAAAATACGAGTGGTGAAAGCTGGGGCTTCCAACTTTGTTCCTGTCACACTTCTAAATTGTGGGACAAGTTGGGAACTAAAGGTGCATTGTTTGACTTAAAGTTTTAGCTGCATTTCTTGATAAGGAGTGGATGGAGACTTGAGTGATCCCTTTCATGTGTCACCTTGCTCCAAGTGACACCTGTTGTTCCAGGATCAGGATGGTTGAATGATGATCGCAGTGGTGTCCTTCATCTCTTGGCTGGGTTTTTAGGATTACGATGACCATCTTGCACCTCCATTCTGTCATTTTGCATGCATGGATCAACTCTTCTATAAAGGGCTTCCCAGACTTGTGTGCCACCTTAATGTTTCAAATGAGATGGATGATTAACTAAAGTTTTGTTGCAAATTTAGATTGTTGTAAGTAGGGTTTTATGGACACTCAGGATTCTAGTAATATATATCCACAGCTTCTATATAACATTTCTTGAGAGTTTTTTAATCAAAGAAACTCATCTAATCCAAACCTGTTTTGCAAACCAGCCAGCATGTGAGCGCCTGCAAACAAAATTGACTTGGTATTGAGTAGTGTTTTCTATCTAAATTGAGAAAAATATTTGTATCTGAAACACACAAATTATTGAGAGATTAAATGTAGAGCCTAATGAACGTAGTGTTATCAGTAAGAGAGTAAAGAAAACTTTATTTTCAGAATAATATAACTTAAACTGACTAGTGTGTTTTCCATACAAAGTCCATGTATAGTGAGTGATATGTACAGTCACTAACCTCTTCTAAAAAGAGAACAGATTTTGGACTCAATAAAATGTAGTGATTATAGGTATGACTCCATCTAGACTGGCTTTGTATCATGCATTATACTTGTATTGCTTATTGCTCATCTAAATACTGAATCCTGGAGCTTACTTCCTCCTTTGTTTATAGATTTCATGATCACATCCAGAATACAAGATCGTTTTTTATTTACTTTGATTTTATGTTGTGTTGTGGTCAAGCATCCTCATTCTTGAGGCCCACATGACTAACTCAGTGCCAGTTTTGAGAGACCCAAAGAGCCCGTTCAGATGATCGGAGATTGCTGAAGAAATGATTTTGCAAAGCCCCTCCATGGTCTGTGGCAAGCTGAATGCTTGGAGCCAGTTGCACACTTTTCAGCCAGCTGCTTTGATGAAAAATTTTGTGTTGACTGACTAAAGAGATTTTTTTTTTTTTTAATTAATTTTTTTTTCTTACCCTTGGGAGAGGGGGAGGACAAAACTGTTGGTTGAATGCTGTTCAGGGAGAGTGGAGGTGGAGGCATTGGCCTACCTCTCCTGTTTATCACCCTGCACCTTGCTGTGGGTTATGCTGAAGGAGTGTGCAGATGAACTGTGGGTAGCAGTCTCTGCGGTAGATGCTTGTATGTCTTATAAAGCACCTATCTGCTGACGGGTTTAGAAAGTGGGATCCATGTGCTCTTCCTGCAGTCTGCCCAGAGCAGCAAGTTGTATTTCAAATTGGCACCAAATGCAAAGCTTAGAGGACACTTCCACCCTTAACAAAGTTTGTAACATGTTATTGTCGAGTTAATCGGCCCTTAGGGGAAACCTGAGAAGGCTCCTTCAGGATTTTTCAGTTGGACTCTGCTGCTTTCTCCTGTCCCTGGGAGTGAATGCAAGACCATAGCTGTTTCCGTGGGGGAACAAAGTGTAGGTATTTCCGCTATACCTGTTCCCTTTGACTTGAACAAATCTTGCAGAAGTTTCAAAGCACCTCCATGCAATAGTGCATTGAAACCATTGAGCACCTAATGCAATGGTGCTCAACCTTTTTTAGCTTGTTGGGTCAGATTGGCCATCCATCTGCAGGTTGGATCCAGCTGGTCTCCCCAGTCCAGCCCCTGGGACTGCCACGTGGGGGGCAGGCCTGTCCCACTGCAGCCCTGCACGGCTTGACCTGGCTCCATGGAGGGGAAGGGGATGTGGCCTGCATGGGAGTGGGGCGGGAAAGGGAGACATGGCCAGGTCCCAACCGAGCCCCACAGGGGAAGGAGGTGGGTCCAGTAAAAAATGATCAATTGTTGAATTTTACCTCTAGATATTCCTAATGCAAAGATGACCCCTCTGAATGCTGAACTAACAAGCATGCCCCAAACACTGCCGTCAGCTTTAGCACATAGGTGTGTTGTACAGTCGTGCAGTTATTTGCCAGTCCTATTGTCATTTTCTCCAGAAGTTTGTGGGCCTTTTTCAAGCTGTTTGTCCAAGACAAAACAGCGGTTGGTGGTCGTGAGATTTCCAACTCTTAGGGAGTTTAGTGAAGTGTGGCTTGGACGCTCTCTTTGCAGTCTTTCCTCCTGGGGAGGATGGCTATCTAAGAGCCCCATGCTCTTAGCATATTTAGAAAACTGAATGCCAAAAATGCTCTCTGGTGTACTGGTCCAACGCCCATTAAGCTGCACTGAACAGCTTTTCAGGTGGTGAAATGGGATCCGTGTTCAGTGCAGTTCCCCAACCCCTGTTCAGCACCCACCTGTATTGTAGACAAAAGCTTGTTTCGCTGAAGAACAAGCACCGTGATGAATCTAGGTGTAATTACGATGATGACACAAGTGATGATAAATGACCACGCTGGAGTTGCCGACACTGGCTGTGCTTGGATCTTGTAATATATATCGCTCAGGATGATGTCCTACAGCTGTAGTGCACCTTTCTTTAATTTTAATCAAGCTGTCTTCTTACTTGCTTGAATTCTGGCTTTCTAAGGAAATGTGTTTTTAACCTGGGCTGCTTTGCCTGTAGTCTTGTGAGCTAAGCAGGTTCCTACTTTGGGTCAATAAAAGGCCCTTTTCCACCTGGTGGCACTAAGGGTTAGCACTGAGAAGCGATGGGATATTGTACTGCAGAAGTACCATCTTCCTGATGGGGCTGATGCATCTTTACTAGTCCTAGCTTCTTGCTTTGCTCTTGGTAAAGACTGCTGCATCCCGCCCTCCCCTTGGCCCATTTTGAAGTCTAGATTTGATTTGCTTCTGGTTATGCGAGAGGACAGCAGGACTCTCACTACAGCAAATACGAGCAGCATCAGTTGGTTCGCTTTTCTTCCCAAATTCATGCTCTTCTCTTGCCAAATTCAAGTAGAAATCTTTTGGGCTCTGACTCGGTGTGGAATATTTTAGCTTAAATAAAACCCACTTCAGAAAGTTGCTCGTACCTGGGAAAGGTAACCAGACCAGAACAGAAAACTGCTGCAGCCCAGACTTTCATTTGGTTTGAACTTCGCAGTCTGTGCCCAGTGACAGGATGCTGGTTTTAGGAGCAGCTATTTTGGTTCCCCATAGTACAAAGCTGTTTTGTGCATGAGTAACTGAGGGTCGTGTCGTCCTAGCTCGCTAAATTCTGCTGCTGCTAAAACTGTTTCTGGCTTCTCTTTAGCTTTGAGGATGGCCAGAATATTTTGTAATGTTCAGGATCGCCTACCTCTCCTGTCTTTTAACTTTGGCATCCAATTAAGTGTTTGGGCGTATGGAAGATCAGGCTTGTCCCCCTCTTCTTTGATCTTTGTGCGGAGAATGCACTCTGCTCGCCCATCCACCAGAGGTTGTTGTCCGGTGACGTAGAGACCTAGATGGCCAGAAGACTGGCACACGCCACCTGATCGCAGTTCATCCGCTTCTTAGCTGCATGTTTCTTTGAGAGGGCTCAACTTGGCAGAGCCAGGTGGCAGTGGCAGGGTTAACGCAGCATTTGGGGGGGTGTTCAAGGAATTGCCCCTGAAGACAACAGCCCCTTCTCTCTTTCTCTCTCCTGCTTTCCACGAGCCAAATGCTGGAGCCATGGTGTTGCTGTTTGTTGGTTTGCCATGTGCCAGCTCATGCCCAAGACAGCAGCTCTATTACAATTCCTCTTGGCATTTTTTACCCTTTAGCTTTTTTCGTTTCACCCCTTAGCTTTTGAAAATGGGTGGGAGGGATTTTTTGGCTATCCATTTAAACTTACTGTGTATTTGCAAGGTCTGCCCCAAGGCCATCAAGCCTACAGATTGGTGTCTTTTCTGGAGCTTCTGTACAACTAAAATAAAGGCATATTTCCATTGGCCTCAATAGGAGCAGGATCGATCCCGGCATGGCTTTTTCTGCAGAAATCCAACACAGGGTATTTTAACTCCTAACCTAACTTTTTTTTTAGTAACCATTTTAAATAGAACATCTCAGCAATTTGGAAATGTGTGAATGTCTCAAGCTCTTTCAAACTTCAGTAAAGTTAGGGAACTCTGGATTAGGATGTGAGAATACTTCACTGTTAATTGAAAGTTTTTTTTGCAAGTATCACAGTCAGTGACTTGTCTTGAGCAGCTAATTAGTGCGATTTATTCCCCAGCTGAATTAGTTTCACCACAAAGGTTTTTCTCTTGTTTTATCAAAAGGATCAGTCTCTCTGGGAATGCTTTAACCTGACAGGCCTTAAATAGCAAGACGGTCTTTCTTTCTTTTTTTTTTTTTTTTCTTCCCCCTCCCTTCTCTTCATACTTTTTTAAGGACTTAAAGGGCAAGGAAGGGTCCGTGGCACTTTCAGAATTGATGCCACTCCAGTGAAACCAGTCTACACAAGCGCACTCCTGTAGTTGCTACCAGTTAAATACTTCTCCCCAGCCCCCAACTTGGATTCAAAGTTCTACATTTTTAATGGGCTTAATGCAGTTTAGTTTCTGAGGATATTAACTCCACTTGCTTAACTTTTAATCTTGTAGGAAAAAACATGTTGTTGTATAGCAGTGAGATGTGTTGGGAAATTTTAGGGTTTGGCTTTTGGCAAGAAGTTTGATACAACAGGTGTTAACGTTCATCTTTATTCCAGAGTTATAATTGTAAGGTCGTGTCATGTTCAGATGATCTAAACTGAAGGGTGGGCTTTTCACGAATGTCAAGCAACGGCTTAAAACTGGCGTCGCCTAAGTGTCAATGGGAGCTTTATCACTGACTTTAGTGTGTGCACGGTTAGTGCTTTGGAAATCCTAGTCCGGCTGTCAAAATTTTGTGCCATGGATTTAGTAGTATACCAGTCCTTGGCAAAAGTGCTTGGACAAGAAACAAGTATACTGTGTCTGCCTACAGGTGTGAAGCTTCCTTCAGTGTTTCATGCATTGTTTTTCAATCTAACCAGTTTTCTGGTTTTTTTGTACAATGTGTTGCATACCTGCAGTAGGCGGCAAATACAGTTGTTCGTTAAGCACCTTAGGGGGTCATTTCGGATGAAAGACCTTATTAAAAAAAAAAAAAAATCATGGTAATAACTTCCATGTGGAATCTTTAATAGAAGGGGTTGATAAATGGCTTGTCACCTGTTGTAGATTGTGATATGCATATTAAGAGAAGGGGTTACAGCTTCCAAGAAGTGGCTTAGAGCAATCAATATAATTCAGATGTGTGCAATACTTGTATTAGCCATTGGGCTGTAGCTTTATAGGTAACCGGTAACAGAGGAATGTGCATTGCAGGGGCCTTCTCCCAACTCATCTCATACCTTTCACTTACACCACCTTGCCCGGATGCAGAGGCAGTCACTGTTGGCCGAGCCTGCCCTTCAATGCGGAGGGACTACGCACGATTGGGAGTTATCGGGCTGTGTTGTGGAACAGCCTTTGTTTTCTACCTTTCTCTATTTGGACTCGCATTTTCCCTCCCCTTTCCCCCTTTGCTGAAGTCTAATTACTCAGGTAAAATCCTGTGAAATTTGAAGTGATAGCTAATGGCTCATAACCTAGATGGCAGAGCAGTGATGAAGTGCCGTCACTTAGGATTGGCAGCATGATAGAAATATGGTGTCTCCTTAAAAGAACCCGGTGGTGCATGTCACGACATTATAGGGGCTCTGTAGTTCTGCTGGGCATCAGTGAGCATTAAATGGTTGTAAAACTGGGAATAAATAGTCATCCTCTTCCTGCTAGGTATTGATAATGTGTTTACATGTCATCAGGATAACTTTGCTTAATTTTCCTGCTAAGGACCTACGGTAGATCAGCATATTGTTACTGATTGTTTTGGGGGTTTTTTGGGTTTTTTTTCCATGTCTTAGCGTAATTTTGCAAACTTCAGAACACAAGAATAATGAATGGAGTGGTGGAAACTGAGCTGTCTGTGTCTTTTTTTTGGTCTTTCTACAGCAGTTCAGAGCATCCTGGGGCTTCCAAGCCTCCCCTAAGCTCCTCCAGTATGACATCACGAATCTTGCTACGACAGCAGCTCATGCGTGAGCAGATGCAAGA